TTAAAGCCTCCGCTACAATGATTCTCGGTTCTGTCTACAATGGTCGCAGGAACGTCGTTGAACTACAGACACATACTATACATATATTATAACTCGCGATCCCTACTATTAATTTTACGCCATTTAAAAGCCCATAATCTGTCGCCGCTCTGGCGTGATATTGTACGTCACTTAGTATTTTTAGAAAGGTAGATGACCTTACGACTTCAAGCAACAAGTGCTTGCGCAAACATGACATTTGAATATGCTCTTTCATTCTTTTTAATGTCATCCTGTCGTAACAAGTTATTTTTATTAATTGCACATGACTCTCGGATTTTACATCGCCGGCCACGAATTAAGGTGTTGAGCAGTGTTAATGAATTTACAGAGTACGAAACGTCATCCAAAGATCATCGAACTTGGACGAAACGTTTGCTTTCACTGTGCAATTGTAATTTTTTAAAGTAACCCTGGTGAACATTTTTCTCAGTTTCTAAGATTTTTTAAAATAATTTTAGTTTAATTTTTTACACAAATTGGAATTCTTTTCAGAAGTATCGAGAAAATTTATATCTTTTCTAGAATTTTTTATATGTACAAATTCTGAAATTTTTCAGAATATTCGTTATATTTATATTTTTTTAATCTCATAATATTCGCACATACATATGAAAAATTCGCAGAAAAAATTTCACCAGGAAAGGTTTTACCAAATGCTTTTTAATATCTCTTACCCCTAATGTGAATACTTTTAATTTGTATCTGTGTTTATATTTAGATTGTTTTATTGGAGTGGAATGCTCGATGCAGATTGGATATGGGACTAAGCTACTGGTAGAAAAAAAATGTAACAGAAACGCATTAATTTATTGTCTACCAAAATACTACAAAGATATAAACACACTATATTCTTCGTAGATCATGTAAGCTTTCGATATAATGTATAATATGTAAATTAATAAAAATACCGCGTCAGATCGGCTGCGAGGTGAAAAGTTTCTATTAGAGTCCCTCGAAAATTCTATAATATCATTCGTCGTTCGATAAAATTTACAAGTATTCGAAAATTAATGTTACGCCAAGAGTTTGGTTGAAATTAACACGCGCTCCAGACTTGTGCTACACTTGCCGAGAGTGAGATAAAAATGCATGCAAATTAAATTCGACAAGGTTCTTTCGTTATTATAAGCTTGATCGAACTTTGCCTCTCGACAATTTTAATATCTTGTAAATTTAACTTTTTATCTTTCGACAATTGTGTCAGATCGTGACTACAGTTGGAGGCGAGATCAACGGTGCCGGCGTCGCGATTTAAGCCACGTTGCAAACGAATTGTTCGCTCTGCGGTTCCTGCCAGCCGCCGAACGTCCTCTCGATTTCTTGCGCAACGGCAAACGTCAGATGGTCACAGCCCGAATTTGCGACGATCTGCAAGAGCAACGAGTTAAAAGACGAGTTAAAAAACGAAGTTTAACTAGTCATATGTAAATTGATAATCTATTCTCAGAGTGATACGCTCGACGGTTATACATTTAAAATCAATAAATTAAATGTCGACATAATTTGAGCGCAGTGCTGTAATATCGACGTGAGAGAAAAACTCTTCTATCTTGCATCCTAACGTCATTAGTTTATTACTTTCGTAGTTTCGATTACGTGATCGTCGAGTCTATTTCTCAGCTTGTGTAACTGAGGCTATTATTGCCTGTGTCCAGCAGAAGTTAGCGCTTGCTAAGCGCTTTGCGTTCATTGGATTATACTTTCAGATCTGTGCTGAAATAGAGCTATTCTTCTAGATCGATCCAATCAGCATAAAGCGCTTATTAAGCGCCAACTTCTGGAGAACACAGCCATTAGCTCATTAATTTACGCAGAGATAAGCGGCGAGCATCAGCTTCCGCTTTTTACCTGAACTCCAATCGGCAGCTGGTTTTTGTCGAAGCCAAGCGGACACTGCGTGACCGGAAATCCCAGCACGTTGAAGATCATCATGTAAGTGAAATTGCATATGTTGTACATACACTCGCGAGGATAATACGCCGACGAGGTAAAAGATGGGCAGATTAATACGCCGTTATCACCCAACAGCTCCTAATCGAATGTCATTGAACATTGTTTTAATATTAATTAATACAAATATGCCAGAAACGTGAAGTTTAACAAATGCTGTGTATAGAACGCTACCTCAAATTTTGTTCTCAATTGCATCCTTATCTTCATCATTTCATTATACCTGGAGCTCGATATTTTCTCGGAAAAGTTCTTGAGTATCCCGTAGCCAATAGCGGGGAAAGTGTGCGGCGACATAAAGAAAATATACTTGAGTGTTTCCGCGAGCACACTCTTCGATTTCTGAGAAATTTTTAAATGTGCATTCATTTATCGCGACGCATCTCTTAACAATCTCATTGTTTGACTGTACCTTAGGATCATCCAAACGATTAAATATCGAATGTATATCCTGGATCTTGAGAAGAATAATCATGCTTAATTCAAAAGATCGTTTCATATCTTCCAAATTTGTCTGCGAATAATCAAAAATATAAATGTCAGACTTGTCTACAAATACATCGTCGATGTTATCGAGTGCTTTAATTACCATTACGTAATTTTTATTATGTAATAATTTGTAATAATAAACATAATATGTAATAATCAAAATTATGTAACATTTACAATTATGTAATATAATATCTAATTGTATTAGAAAATCTAGATCGTACTAATCTAGATCGTATTAATCTAGTATTTTAGCGTATAAATTATTTTTAATTAATTGCTGAAAAAAGTGTTACATTATATAATACTACATGCTCAAAGAAATACTGCACGTATCTTATTGTATAATAACTTTCTGTCTAGTAACACATAAAAGTAATTATATCAAGTGAAAAAAACATACTTTTTGCACTTGGATACCGTCTATTGCGTCCAGGTGCTTCACCAAATTGCAAATGGCGTTTTCTACATCAGTGGTCGCGGAACCTGGCATCGGGCCGTAATCATCCATGTAGAAGAATTTTATGTCCTTCAAACACACCTATGCGAATATGCAAGTTTGAGTCACGTAATCAAACCTTGAATAAGGCATACTAAAATAATCTATCCATATTAATTTCATTCGTCATCTTATTTTAAATGTTCTGACCTTTTTGTTGAAGGTAATTTTCGCTTCGTCCGATTGCGACATCGCCGTTAACAAGAGAGGCAGATCCGTGGCGTATCTAACCATCGAACCGATCGCGAAGAACGTGGGCCAACTTTTATCATTTGAGTCAGGTTTATGTCCTTCCACTGATACCCAGTCTAAGACGAAAGATATTAAGTTGTTTTACCAGTTATTTAATAGTATTTTGTATACAAAATTGAAAGTTTCGTTATTTGATTGTTCTTTTCTCCCGTTCTTATTGATTGTTCAATGACAATTTACTTGGTGTGGGTTTATGGCCAAAAACGCCACAAAACAGTGCCGGCAGCCTGGCCGATCCACCGATGTCCGAAACCAAGCTTAGAATCGATGCGCCAGAGCCGACGAGAGCAGCCTGATTAAATACAATTTCTGTCTATTATAAAATGCCGTTATTATATTGTTCTATTAAGAATTTTTAATTTTCGCAGGTTTGCGAAGTCTCGGGTCCGCGTAGAAAGAGGAAACGTACAAACCTCGCCACCCGAAGAGCCACCGGCGGTCCTCCGGGTATCGTAAGGATTCCTCGTGGTACCTGTCACCTTGTTGAATGTATGCCACCACATACACAATTCCGGAGTGTTGCTAACGAGAAGAGGAATCCCACCGGCCTCGCGGACCCTCGCCACAACTTCGGCATCTTTTGTCGCTCTCGAAGGAGTATCTTTCACCGCCACGGTATAACTCATCCCTATACAAGTCAATTTTTATCTTGATCGTGTGTTACATGCCAGATAACGCTGTAAAATTATTTCACAGATATTGCGCCCGGATAATATATTTTTTTCTATAACGTACAAGATGCCTCCGGAAAATGAGCGGCATGTTATTCTTGGAAAAGATTTTACATCGATTTTTGCTCGTTGAATCTTTCAACGGTCAACAAGGAGCGGTAAGTGGGATTAAAATTCGTGGTTTGCTATGACAAGCGCTTTAAAAATAATATATGCAGAGTGTCCGACTATAAACTTCGCTCCAAAGAGCTCTGCGATTTTCAATTGATTTAAATATGCCAATATGCCACTTTGGATATGCACGGCGTTGGCTACTTGGAATAGTAAACTGATGTCTAACGCACTAACAACTTCTGAGAAAAATTCTTAGCGAGTTCTAAGAACAGCTCTTCCGTCATAGGTTTACCGGCGGGAAAAATAATTTTGTTAAACCGTGCAAATTACCAGAACACGGTAGCGCAAATAATGAAATTTGCAAAGCATCTCAAACAGAGAGCGAAAAGTGGAGGTCTCACAGTACATAAAAAGCTGGCGACCTTGACACTTCGCACAGCGTGAAAATCGCGAGCAACAACAACCTGAATAAACTGGTACTGACCGATGTGAAATTAATGCGATAGATTACTGAGAATTTGCATGTCTGGTGGTCATCGTCAAAAGTTGATTTTCTTTGTAGTCCGGTAATCAATAACAAATTACTATTTAAAAACCAGCTATTTGGATATAAATTTATTTAAATGCATAACGTAATAATAAAAATTACGTAATGGTAATTGAAGTACTCGATAACATTGATGATGTATTTGTAGACAAGTGTAACATTTATATTTTTGATTATTCGCAGACAAACTTGGAAGATATGAAACGGCCTCTTGAATTAAGCACGATCATACTTAAACGTGATAAATATTAACTATTTCTCTTCAAGAAAACGGTTCTAGCAACGTGTGATTCTGTTGAACGATATATTCGGGAATTTGCGCAAGTGATTAACGTAAGCGCGAGTTAATAGCTTTGATCACGAATGTCGAATCCAGGCACGAATCTAGGATAATTCCATATTCGTAATATTTCGCTGCAGTTAATGGTCTCCGAAATATTGTGTAACTTCACTTCCACCTATCGACTTTATTTTATAAAAAATATATATCTACGTATATTTGTAACGTCGAAAGATTCAAGTATGCAACTCACCTTGAACAGCAATACTTTCTTTAACCGTGACAGGCAGCCCGAGCAGCGGTTTCTCGCTCGCGATCTTCGCCTCATCCATAGTCGTTGACTGCAGGAAACTGTCGATTTCACGCGCCTCTTGAATTGCCACGTCGAAACGATCTTCCACGATAGCGTTGAGCGATGGGTTCACCTCCTTGCAGCGCTTCACGTACGCGAGGATCACTTCCTCGGAGCTGATCTGCCGAAGATTGAGAGATGTAAGGTTCAACTCGAGATGACTTTTCGGTATCCTACGTCGATTTGACGACAATATCCTCGAAAAGTATAATAATTTGATCGGCAGAGCGAGACGTAGACTTACCTCTCTCTTGCGGATTTTCTGCGCGATTTCTGTCGCCGACAGCAGCAAAATTCGATCCGTGATCTCCGGGCATCGCCGTCTCTTCTTCAAGCCTCGCAGTTTGAAGAACGGGCCGAGCAGGCAACGCAGAAGGAACAAGCCGTACTTTACTATTATCTTCATCAGTATTGCTTGAACCGTCTGTATGGAACGAAATGCGCTCTGACAATTTCTTAAGCGTATCTTGAAGAAATGAAATCTGAATTTATGTAGCCTTACCATGATACCGATAATGCTCGTATCGCTTAATCCTTATCACGTTTCTCTTCTTACAAATTTCGAATCTCTCAGTTTTGCAGCTTCGCTGTTTTGAGATTAGTCACGTTGGTGAACGATCCATGCAGCTTAAAGGTCTCGATCGTTCTGGATAAATGTTGAAAGTTTTAATTTTCGGACCACGAAATATGCCGCGCGTGCACCTATCATTAATTTAAACTCACCGAATACATAAAACAGAGATCACTGTGGAGGATGTTTAATAATGATATGGTAAACTCCATAATGCATTCTTTTACGTCACTGCCATTTATCCCGGCTGTTTGTTTTTAATTAAGTCATCGATCCCTTACTGTTTGTATTAGTTACAGGAGAGGTGCATAATGCAAAAGCTGAAATTACGCAACATGTTTAACTTGAGATTCTCGAGGTCATCAACGGAGGAATTATCTTCTTTAAAACGACAATAATCCAATAATCGGCCGAAAAAAAAGAAGATCGAGAGCTGTCTCTATACGTTAAATTAAAGTATATTTATCTTAATTAACATTAATTAACTGGTCGAATTTGAGCGAGAAATGTTTTCAGAGAAACTTCTTCGATAATCGAAGAAAGTAAAACCGAGACACTTGAAATGTTACGTCAAAATATTTTAACGAGTACAATACAATCTAATTAACGCGATTTTGATATAGGAAGCAAAAACGCCTGGAAATCAATTTTTCCCGATCACGGGGACGGACGTAAAAAAATGCGAACGTCTCTCTCATTTGTTCGCAGAAAGTTTCCTGGAAGCGTAGGCAATGAAAGTCGATGTTACATGTCAATCGAATGCGTTGCTTAATTTAACGTCTACGCGAAATACCGCGAAATACCGTCACTGAAGGAAACCATTCATCACACAGAGCCGTTTTTACGATTTTAGTCTTACGAAGGATGCAGTCACTGTCGCCTATGTTAATCCCGCGGTTGTCTAATGCAACATAGCACTTCCTCGAGGTTTCAGGTCGCGTTTCGCGCACGACTCACCACTGAAACAGCAACGATGTGCGAGACGAGAATTTTAAGAGACTACCCCCTACTTCCTTTCTTCGAACTAGCATTAGCACGCAAGAAAACGAATCGCGTATACCAGTTATCCTAAACGGACGCAGTTTTTTTGGCAAAGTTCGTCTTTATTCAGTGGTGAATATCATTTTCGAAAACGTCGAATGTTATACTATTTGTTTTTTTGCATTTATATTGCGTTACATTAAAAACTTTTCATTTTTTCCACGCGTAAAGAGTAATGATAAGAAATACATTTTCATTCAAATCGATTAAAATGATAATACAAATGATGAGGTGTTAAAGAAGTATCTCTAACATCTTATCATTTATTATTATGTTTGTATTAATAAAGGATGATTATTGATCATTATCTTGTTTACGAAGTTTTAAGCTTAGATTATAAAGAAACTAGACTCTGATCAAGTTTGCTACAAAATATAATAAAAATATATATCTGCATTTAGTAATGAACTTATTAAACATCAGTTGTGTTAAAACGTTGCATCATTAAAATTAATTTTGATCTGAGTTTTCATATTAATAACAAGAATAAAGACTTATTATCGCCAGTACATAATTAATAGTGTAGGAAAATTGATAACCGACTGGCAATTTTAATTAGAGAAAATTTATTGCGAAAAAATATCATACCCTGGCTGAGGTGATATTCTTTCGCAAGTTTTTTCTGATTAAAATTACTAGTTGTTCGGTTATCAATTTTCCTACACTGATATTCATATTAACATATTTATTTCATATTAACACTTATAAATGCATGTATACGTCATATAAAATTATATAACATAACATAAGTAATCGGCGTGCATTTAAAAATAATTACTGCACGAGAGATAAAACTAAAGTATTATAATTTTACATGCGACGATATGATAGAACACTTTTATATTTGCGACTTTTTTATTTTCTTTGAATCCGTGCAAGGTATAAATATTAATATAGTTTGTACGTTACTAAATATAAACACGAAAATTGCGATAAATTTAAATTATCTCACCTAATATTAATTTCTATGAACTTTCAGGGAAGCGTCGGAACGTGGGAGACGCACTCACAATCAGATACAACAGGATCCACGCCGAGAGAGTAATGTCCAGTAGCATCCGTTATAATCCACGATCGTTCACGACTGATTCACTCCAATACGCGCGAAAGGACGCAACCGGTATCTAGCAAGTTTAAGTGGGGAAGTACGTGGCACTTTGCTTCTTATCATTTTTGGTGGCGCGCGTTTCCTACTATTTAGTTCTAAATTTTTTAGACGTTTGTTGCTCATGATTTTACTTATTATCATCCGTTGCTAAGCTTCTGTCGTTCATTCGCTTATACATGATTTCTTTTAGAAGGCTTCATAATATATATTCGACCATTTACGTCATGATTTTTTCCCCAAAGCTGATAAATTTAATTATTCTAATCGAAAACATCAATTTATGTGTAGACCTGATATTTTATTACTGAATGTAAATTCATGATTTAAACAACTGGCATCACGAAAGCTTAAATATTACAAAAGCGGACTTTGCTTTCTGCATAGTGTGACATGTGTGTTTTGGTCGTTGGTCGACTCGACAATTGAGATACCGTAATATTTGGAGAAGAGAAACTTGTACGAAATGAAAAGTGGCACGTGAATTTAGAACGTTTAAAAATTATCGAGAAAAGAAAGTAAATGCGACAACAGTTTAGTAATTTTTTTATCTAAATACATTTTCTGATTTTTGCGAGTGAAAATATGTTTTATTGAATGATTTATACACGGAGTATTTTTAAATTATTGGGAGAGACTGAACTGACTAATGGAATCTACAAAAATAAGAGGAGTCTTAGCAATCAGCGAGATTCGTAAATTAAACATGTTTAATTTGTTAATTCATAAGTTTATTTTATAAATTCTTTGCATGATTACATATGGAGTAAATATTTCAGGGTTTAAAGTATCAACAAGTTTTAAAATTCGCAATAAAATCGCAGAGTATCTCAGAAAGCATCACTTTGCAGACCCATGTTAAAATTTTATTACTTGTTTGTGGATTCTATTAGCCAGTTTGATTTTTACTTATAATTTCGAAATGCTTTGTATACTCAAGAAGAAAGAAGAAAGAAGGAAATTAATTCTTGGGATAATAATAGAAAGATAAAACGAAAGTTACTAATAAATTGAGCATTTTCTATCGCGTGTTATATAAATTTCTAGTGACTGACGTCTGAAAATAATTTGATGAAGTCAGGAACTGATTAATTTTCCGTGTAAGTTCGTACAGATATCTTGAAATTCATACTATTTACGGTAAGAAAACAAAAGCGGATACAATCGGAACGATATTTATTACAGAAAGATTACAAGATTATATTCAGGACTATAAACATTTTAGACGCGGTCCGTGCGCCGTAATTAGGACGCCGGGGGTTTTCCGGTTTAATCGTGAAAAATATTATTTACATTGCACATATATCACTAGCGTTACTATCAGACGAGCGGACAGTTGGTCGTCGAGAACTCTCCGCGAAAGGCCGTTCCGAACGAAGAGAATACAACCTCATCTCAACACGATCGTCCTCCCCGACGCGTAAAGAAATGATCTCGAGAAGGTTTCTAGCATAAAAAATGGTCCCTTTACGCGATCGAGTTATCGCTCGTCGTTCATGTTCACAATTCGAATGTGATCAGATTATCAGGATCGCCGAATCGGCTTCTACAAGCCTCGCCCTAATTTTCATCCTTTCTAATCTTAGTAGATTACTTAGTGCGCGCTAATCTTTAACGCTGAAAGAGCCGAAGACGAGGAACAATCTTGCGGATAGGCGTCTTTCTTTCTCGAGACGTTCAGCTAAGAGCTTGAAAATGTCCTCGAAAACTTACTTTATCTATATCTAATAGAGATCTATAAAAAGTTACAGAATTTGTGTGAATACTCGAGAAGTTTATCCTCGCCAGTCCGGCTATTTCGGCATAAAATTGCTCATTTTTTTCGATCTTTCGCTAATTTTCCGCGTGTAATATTTTAGGATAATTTCGAAACGCATTGTTCGCAGATAATTCGCACGACCGTGTCGGACAGTCGCGTTTTGAGGCACTCGCGCCGCGGAAAGTCGCTCAAGGGGAAAGGGAGAAAGGACGCGTTGTTTTCCTCGATCGGGGGAGATCGTCGCTAAGGTAAGCGTCTAAACGTGACGAATGGAAAGCAATTAGGGTCGAGACATCGCTGGTACTCGTACGAGACCAAAAATAGCCATTTGCAACCGGTCGGACTCATCGAGAACGAATGTAGTAGTCTTCTAATAGGCGACTATCGTCCGTCGCGTACCAAACGGGCGCCATTGTAACAGTTCTCCGAAGAACGCAGTCGATTTTGTTCTTCGCTCTCGCTCTCTCCGCCTTTCCTTAAGTACCGAATACAATATTACCATCACTATCGTTTATCATTTACGTCTACATGTTCAGTGTGTATATTACGCGCCGCCCTTGTCCCTCGGGCGCTATCACCTTACTTCGCTGCCGTTAATCACTATTTTGTGTCGTTATAATAAAATACGTCGATATATATATATATTTATATATATATGCAATATGTATACATATACGTATACATATACAAGGTTCACGCGATCGAAACTCTTAACGTCTACTGCAATGAAAAAAATATGTTTCACTTTTCTAAGACTTTTTCCTCAGCACTTTGGAGTCTCCCTAAAGACCTGTTGTCATCGTACGCGCGGCTTGCCGAAAGAGACCACGAAATTACGTTCGTGACGAGTCGAGTTGTCTCACGTAAGTGGCAATAACGGTCGGCGATGTTGATCAATTATTAATGATACTTGAGACTTGTGCAATTCGCGATGCGCAGTCAGCCCAAGAGTTGTACAATTGATGTTCTCTTTGTTAAGTACCGACTAAAAGCAAAAGAAAAGCGAACTCGAACGTTGCGGATCGGAGCTTCGTGGACGATTAGAGTGTTGGCTCGATAGAAATCCTTTGCTCATTAACGCAATATGAAATCAATCGGATGGCGATGTAGACGAAGATAAATACGAGCCGGTGAAGTATCGTGTCACATCGATTAGCGTTTCGCGGAATAAACACCGTGATATTTTATTTTGTCGATAACGCACGTTGTCGTAACGTTACTTTCTATTAGATAATAGAAATCGGAAACTGAAAATTGCCGAGTTATATGGGAAATTGCAGTAAGACGACGTAGACCGCCTGACTACCGGGTATCTGAAAAGCGTCTGAAGCGGGAAATATCACTTTCTACGGGGACAAAACGCGTACAAAAACCCTAGTCGTATATAAATAAGTCTATAAGCGCTTAACAGGACGATATCTTAAAGTTGTTACATAGTAATTACGATAGCGTTACGCGCGTCAACTCTTCTTTCCTTTTCTTTTTTAACGGCACTATACATAATAATATGTTATTACCAACGGTGTGCAGTTCCTCGATAAAGAAAGAATACGATACGGGATGCTAACCCGAGAGATGAAGTAGGAAATAATCGTTTATAAAACTATCCCTAAACGTAAGAGTAGCCGTACGAAATTCACGATACGTCGCTGCATCCATACGTAGTACGAATACGTACGAAAAAACACGATTGATAATTTCTACATTCGTAATAATAACGACATTATTTTTACATCCGATAACACTGATCTACAACGAAAATGCCTCGGAAACAAAATGAGTTAATCTTTAATTAGGGGTTGCTGAATCCGAATATCTTGGTGAAAAAGTTTTACTAGTTCTTGTTTCGATAGAGAGTTGAAATCCCCAAAACCCTTTTTTTGATCGACCGTCATTTTACTACGAAACATGGCAAATAAATCGAAAATATCTCAAGAGGAAGCTTATATCTTCTGCTTTATTAAGAAACATTTTCAGGAATTTTACGGGCAAATATAATATTTGCATTCCTGAGGTGATTTTTAGTTTTATTGTAGATAAGTTTACACAATCCCCAATAAATAAAGTTAAAAATTATTTGCAAAAATTTCAATTTTTTTTTGTAAAGTAAAAATATGTATATACGCTTCTTCTTGAAACGTTTTCGAATCACTTGCGTTTAAAAGTTACATCATCATAACCGGCTGTACAGCCCCAAGTTGGGCCCCAACCCTCATAACAAATTGTCTCCGTCTCATTGTGTGTATTCGCAACAGTGAATTTTTACGGTGAGGAGTTATTAGTCCCTCGTCAACCCCCTTTTTCGGAGAACAGGAATACGTGTGGCAGGATATTCTCGGTAGTTGCCACTTCTCTCCGAGAGAGAGAGGTAGCGTCCGAAAAAACCAGCGGTATCCGTGGGTGGATTTGAACTCTGATCTTCTCGTTCATTTGTTTACTAAGTAGCACATTTCTCTGCGCCACGCTCGCCACGTTTAAAAGTTACAGTCGACTAACAATATCAAAAAGAGCAGTTTTTGAGGATTTTAACCTCCTGTATCATTGGAACTAGTAGAACCAATGACCAGTTTTCACCAACATATTCTGATTCAGCGAACACAAATTAGTAGATTGGCTGATTTTGTTTCCAGGACAGAAAATAAGTTGAAAATAGAGCGGCGGATAATAGTAACAAAATTGCGGGACCCGCGAGCATCACGAGCGATCTTGTTTCATCATACTCCACGCGCGAAAAAGAGACGAGTCTGTCTAGCGCTTTCAGAAACGTCCTTTTCTCGAGATTTGCGCACTTTGTACTGAAAAATCGCGCTCTCGACTGTCTCTCCTTCGCGTATCAGCGGTGCAACTGATAAAACGCAATAAATTACGATTGAAACGTGCTTGGAGAAACGTTCGTAGAAAACCGAGTCACAAAGTCGAACGCGCCGTCTCGGAACTACCGTCTCGTTATCCTTATCCGCTCGATAGTGGTTTTCTCTCTCTCTCTCTCTCTCTCTCTCTCTCTCTCTCTCTCTCTCTCTCTCTCTCTCTCTTTGTGTCATGTACACGTATATATGTATATGTACGCGGTGAGTATATAGAATACATCCATGCACCGCCGGAGAAGAATGTAAGGCTTCAGAGCGAACGCCGTGTGCATTTGCTGGCTGTTATCAGTTGCTTGTTTCCGGAACGGCAGCAGTGTTTCTCGCCGCCAATTCTTCGAGACGGAGGCAGATCGTGGGGTTGGCGATTAATAGATCGGTTTAAATAATGCAATTGTACGTGCGGGTTAGCGAAGACAGCGTGGTTGAGAGATTCTTTGGAAAAGTTTCGAGAGGACGAGCGGCTCGTAGACTGTAGGCGGACTCATCGCGCGTCTTTCGCCGTCAGTTTCTCTATTAGCTCCTGCAGAGGCGCCAATTCCCTTCTCTCGATCAAATTAAATTCCTACAATGCGAGCGTTAGATATCAGGAGTAGAATCGAATAAAGTATTGTTACATTAATAAAGTACATTACAGCTACGCATGCGTTGTCGCATCACCTGACAACATTTTACCGTTACTTTTGTTACCGATTTATTCTCTCAATCTTTTTCGTCTGCGAGATACGATTATATACCTGAACGAAGAATATGAAATGCTTGAACGACGTGTTTAAGTGCGCTTCCTCGCCGAGCTGCACGACCTCGCTAAAGTGCTGATGATAGATGTGAGCGTACACTCTGAATAACCGCTTCAGGATAGTCTTCGCGATAGATAAGAAATTTTTGGGGAAAGGAACTCCTGCAAAGAGAATAGATCGAAGATTAGTTTTCAGTTCGGGATAACTGGCGACAGAGAGAACGAGACAGGGACAGAGAGATAGAGAGAGGGGACGGCAAAGAAAATAATATAAGCACCGATTTTGGATGGAAATAAAGTCTCGTCGTCCAATTGGTCCTGCACCCAAGTCATTAAATAGTCTATATATTTGGGTGCCGAGCACTTGATAGGCTTTTTCACCGTGTGACCGTCGGCCCAGTGATACTCGTACTTGGGTCCGGCCGACATGATGGGACAACTCTCCTCCGTGCAGAATTCCGTGATGGTGCCGTACAGCATGTTGATTTGATTGAAAAAGTCAACGGCTAAAGAAGACGGAAATAGCGTTTAGATCTAGGCGACACCAGGTAAGACCTGTGTCCACGATGCTAGAGCACGGTCCAAGTTCTAGTTCCGAGAAGTGTGTAGGTAATCAACTTGCAGGTCTTATGGAATAGCTGCAGGTCGATTGGCTACACGTTTCTCGAGACTAGAACTTGGACCAAGCTCTAGCATCGTGGACGCAGGTCTGTAAACAGTAGAAACGGGACTTGGTGTCGACTTACTGTTAACAGCGACCCACTCGTTCAGATCCTCTCCCTCGGGAAGCATAACGGCCAGTCGCAAGTTGCCGGAGCCCAGCGTAGCGGCGGCATGTTTCATCAGGTCGTACTGATGAGTGCCCTCCGGGATGTTCTTCTTTGGTTTGAAGGTCTTGGAAGACCTGCTCCCGCTTGAGAAAAGATAGGACAGATATTAGAAAATATTATCTTCTACTTGCTGCTACGAGATTCAAAGTTACTTCCCTTACAATTAGATCAATATTTACTGTACGACGGCACTTCAAACTCTAAGGTAACAAGAGAAGGTGTAAGATACGTTTTGTCACTACAAGATAAATCAATTGGACTTGTTCGCGCGGCAAGATTTAAAAAATGGCAAGTAACTAGGCGTTTGATTACAAACTACCGATGAACGTCCACAAATGTGTGACTCAGGAGTTCACTTCTGTGATTTTAATTCACGAAGAGCTTCGTCTCGATAATCTTAGCTTCCAATTTACCAGGGATTGCATTTCTCTAACGGCAAGAAAAATCAACTCTTCACCCGTGTCCTTCCGTGCCCCCCTTGAAAACTCGACGGGGGCTTAAAGCATCTGCTTTATCGCGCGCGGATACGCATAAATACGATTTCCCGTTAAACTTTCTGTTGAACATATCGTTCTCCCGCATTTAGCGAATTCATCCTCTCCTCCCGCCTACGCTCGCCGTGCTAACGTGCGACGAGAAGCGAGCGCAGAGGCGCAAACGTCGTCTGCCTCTCTCCGTCTCTCCGTTTAGCGGCGTCTCCGCACTTTCTCCCTTCGGCCGGCTCTTTTCTCTCCGCGGAAAAGCCTAAATATACTTTTCGTCGCGGACGCGAGGAGCACGGGGGAGGGCGCAGCTGGGAGAGAGAGAGAAAAGAAGAGGACAAAAAACAAAAGGAGGAAACGCGCGGCCGCGAGGCGCGACGCTCAGCTGATCGCGATCGCGCGCACGCAGGAGCATCTCGGCGGCGCGGCGTTATTTATCGCGAACGTCAGACGAGTCGGACGGCGGCACTCGTCGCGCTCCCGGATGACGAGGCGCGGCCGAGCCGCGAGGGACGGATGATTCATAGATTACGCGGCGCGCGTCGGCCGATAATCCTGACGGTCCGGGGGAAGCGCGTGGCGGCTCTCCCGCGGGAAGACGCGCGAGGGAAGAGTCGCCCGCGCTATTTTTACCCTCGATCGATCCGCCGGCGCGGGCGGCATCGACTCACCCTCGTCGGGCTCGTCGTCGCGGAGTACGCGATAAATTCGACTTTTAGATTAGATATGAAAAAAGAGAAAGAGAGAGGGAGAGCGAGAGAGAGAGAGCGCGCGCGCGAGAGAGAGAGAGAGAGAGAGAAGAAAGGAGGACGTCCCGGAGTAGAACGAGAGACAAAGATTCGCGGGTCCTAAAAGAAAGAAAGAAACCAAGTCGTCAGCTGTCACGGGAGGATATGGACGAGGAAGGGATCCCCGTGTGGGGCCTCGTCGCGTCCTCGCGGCCAGCGCGAGGACGTATCGATCGGACACAAGGGCGGCGATTCGACCGCAGTTCCGCTCAGCTCGACTTGGACGGTCTCGAGGGAGGAGAAAGTCGCGGCGCGGAGGAGGAACTCACAATAGGAAACTCATGGTGTGACGGCTCGTCGTAGCTGTTGGCTCGCGTCGCTCCGCTCGTTGGACCCGCTCTCGTCCGTTCCGCTCGGTCGCGTGGTCCGCTGCCCGCGTCCTCGCTCAACTGGACGCGTGACGAGGCGACGGAGCGTGTACGATTATCGCGACGACGACGACGACGACGACGAACGACAACGAGAACGTGCCGGCCGTCGCACTCGCGCGGTCGCGATCGCCTCCTCGCGCGATGCTGCCCCGCTCTCGCTGTCCCGCTGAACGCCGCTGTGCCGGGGAGACGAGTCGCCGTCGCGCAACCCAAACCCCAGACCGCCCGCTGCGTCGTCGTCCGTCTACTAAAGTCGTCCAGTTTCTCTCGCGCTCCCTCTCTCCCTCTCTTTCTCTCGCTCGAGAGATGGTGCTCGCGACGATCCGGCGTTGCGGTCACGGCGGCGTGACGGGATCGCGCGGCGGTCGGACTGGAGCGACGGCGAGTCGCGCGTTGGAGATGCGACGCGCGATAATCCAATGAGCGTAGTCTTTGTAGAAAAGCTGTACGTTCATTGGATAATCGCGCGTCGCATGGTCCCAGTCATGGAGGTTCCTATTGCCTGTGCTTTCCTATTGTGTGATAGGCTTAACAAGTAAAATGCCGGCATGGCCGCTCTC